CCATGATGTATAAGGATGTTACTTGAATGTAAATCTCTGTGAACTATTCCTTTATCGTGTAAACATTTTACTGCACTTGATAATTGGAACGCTAACCTGTATTTATCATTCCAATCAAGAGTATGAAAATTCTCTTTCAAATAATTATGAAGCGTACCCCCTTCTGCATATTCTAAAACCAATAAATATTTTTCATCTACAAGGATCAAAATTTTTAAAATAATTATTAATTCAATTAATTATAGATATATGAGCATGAGATAACTTTGAATATCTACCTGAATCTTTAGTGATCCCTAAAAGCCGTATTATATTTTCATGAAAATCTACTCTTCGATGCAATTTAAACTATAAACTCATTAGTACGTCATTCATTAAGAAAAAGAAAAAGAAAAAACTTCCGATTTATAAGGTACAAACACACCTCTCTAACAATCTCTTTAACAGTATCTAAATGAAATGATTTTAATGCAACGTATGTATCATTTTCCCACTTCGCTCTATAAACCTTACTGAATCCTCCGCTACCTATCTCTATTATATTATTAAATCCAATATATTTAAAATAATTAATATCTTCTTTATTTATACTTTGTTCTATCCATTCTATCGATTCTGAATTAGTGGACATATTTTGGAAAAAAATCAAAAATTTGATATTCAAATTTATTAAATGTTGATGATCTGCATAATCATTTAGTCATATGACAATTGTTAACTTGCCTAATTTTGGTAGTTCTTTAAGCTAGGCGGATCATCAATATCGCTAACTACAAATACGCAAGGATCGATAAAAATGCTTTTCTGAGAACGAATTTCGAATCACGATGGCGTTGTATAGTTGTTATGCTTCACTCAATGGTCGTTTAATGCAGGAAACTGATTAAACAATGCGTTAAAATTCTGTCATGTTTTGAACTGAATGTACACAACACACGACAAAAGGAGTAATCCTGCTATTTTTTCATAGGAATGGACTCACTGTTAGATCCTATCGTTCTGAAAACTTAATTTATATTTTTTTTTTTTAGTTTAATTACACAATTAACAGTTAAATTTCAGACTTTGTGATGACACGAAAAATCAAAAAGGAGTGATTGGTTAAGTTTTTATTTAGACGTTGTACACAGCGACTTTCGCGTTAGCAACTTTCACGTGAATGATGATTCGATTACAAATTAATACCAATTACTCCAAGTAATCGGCCGCCCATAAATATTATGATTTAATGATAAATTAATGGAATCCTTATGACTTAAAATCTTTGATAAGTTGATCTGTTATGATTATTTCTGTAAACGTATTTTGGTTATAAAGAATTATACTATTCTTATTAATTATGTTTCTTGTAATAATAATACTATTTATCAATTTGATTTACGTACGTGATTGGCTAGTTTTAACTTTTTTTTGTCTCGATAATTTTTTTTCTTTTTTTTTTTGAAATCAAAATGCTATGTATTCTAAAGTTCTAAAAAGATTGGGAAAGAAACATAACAAGAATAAAAATATTTCTCGATTTTTATTTATCATATTACGATTCCTATTGTTAATCCTCAATAAAAAGCAACGACATCAAAAATAATGAATTCTGACTTGCAAAAAATTATATAAATCACAAACTAAAAAAAAAAAAAAAAATATGTGTTGGTTGAATTTAGTTGGATGAAATAAAATATTTTCACTCAACATTTCTATATACGCACAAACATAAATGCGTAGAAGATTACTTACATACCATCATCATCAGCAACAATAGCAGCAGCAACAAAATAAAGAGAACAACACCACCACCACCACCACCATCATCATCAGCAGCAGCAAAATAAAAAACAATTAAAAACTTCAAATAGAAAAAATTTCGTTATATTAAAAGAAAATTCTTTGAAGAATATCAGTATCGTATAGCGCTGCCTATAAGTTCAGGGTACTAAATAAAAAAGATCTTGGGTTTAATTTAATAGTACCAGAGGATACTATATAAGAGACCGAAAATTGTGATTGGCGTAATATTATAATAAAACGCGAAACGCGAAAATAATATTTTACTCTTTTTTACAAATTATTCTGTAAATTTATTTCTGTAATTACGTTCTATATAACTTTTTTACTATCTTTTGATATAAAGAATGGCACCCCATGCAAATAAGAATACAACATGCTAGAGTGGTTTATTAAATAATACTAAAAATTCTAACATCTATGTTTGATTTCAAGTGATTATACAGTCGACCTTCTCTATAGTCACACCCCTCGGGCGAAAAAAAATGATGTAATTATAAAATTAATAAATGATATGACTAAAGAGTGGGGGTTTTTTTTAATAAGTTTATTAGTATCTTGGGCCAATGTAAGTGTGCTTATAAAGGGGGAAGAGACTATGTATGGGGTGACTTTAGGGTCGACCGTATATGTTTTTTTTATGTGCAGACTGATCTTGCTTCATAAAAGGCAGAAACCCACATTTAAAACAATGAAATTTTTATAGATCACCAACCGAATTGATCTATAGGAGCGGCGTATCAGTAATAAAAATTAATTTCCTTTCGATATTTAACATACTGTATCTATTTAAATTTCCATGCATATTGTCATTGGGGAAAAAAAATTTCGAGTCCTACTTAACTTTTTATCAAAATTTATTTTTCATTAAAATTATTCACAGCATGTCATAAGAGGATTTATTGATAATCTTTATACTTCAATTAACGACATTTTATTACATTCCCATTTTTAAGAGAAACGTGTCATTTTGAATCGTCTTAGTAATTGCTAATCTTATTTTTGTCAAACTGTTTCATAATGATCCTAATCCTTATATGAGGTTATGGAATCCATATGAGAATTACAATAAAAATGGCGAGGCTATTATAATTCTTTCTTATTTGGCATCGCTCGTATGTCTGATTTTTTGAAATGCTCATATATGTTGAAATGAACAGTATTGTAAGATCTTACATTATTTATTATTTTTCATTCTAATTTCTTTATTTTTGTTTTCAGTTATCCTGAACATGTTGCAAAAGCCTCATATCAAAAAGAACTTAGTTTTCTTACTGGGATTGGGTAAGTCCATGCACTATTTGTCAAGGAGTTCCATCAATCTTATTTGAAGAGCATATTATTATTACGACTTCTATGACAAACTGGTAACGAATCAAAATTCAGAATCCTCTTCGTGCTTACACTGCTAGTAAATGGAATTTGTATGTGACACTTATAGCCCATCACAGAGACCTTGCAACCATAACGCTTTATACACCATCCGGATATGCAACTGTCAGACATCCAACTAGCATTGGTAGGCTCCTTCTGATCGAAGATTGGCTTCATTTCAGCAATCATAATAACGAACAAATAATAAGGCTGATTAAATGCATTATTCTTCAATCGAAAGGTCTGATTTATTATTTCATAATCTTGCTTAAACAGTTGATGGCCAGCAAATGAGCTCAAATGACAAATGATTCAAATGACTGGTGTTGTGTCATTTGGGTCATTTCAACATTAAATGACAAATGACCTGGTCATTTGCCATCACTGGCTTAAAACCCATACTGAAAATTTTTTTTTTTATGTATCAATATAATGATGGTCAATTTTATTACTCGACGTCATATGTGGTTTGATGTATCTTCGCTCAACATCTTACAAAACATACATTATAAATAAATATTCTATTAGAATATTGCACCTACTTAATTAAGTAAATTAAATGAATGAATCATTTTGTGAACTTGCATTTATTGAATGCAATAGCTGTAACTCTGGCCGTTCTAATTTTCATCTGTAATTCTTAACGCAAATTATTTATTGGCCAAAATTTATTATCTTAAAAAATATTTTATTTTTAATTCATATTTTTTACATATATTACATAATTCTGCAAGTAAAGTTCTAAATTACTTTCCGAAGTCACTGAACGGATAAGCGAAATCCGTTGCAAAGTACGTTCATAACTTCAAAAGAATTAACTAACCTTGGTGAAGCATTGGATCGCTGAACAACTTTCGATTAAAATGGAAAAAGACTTTCTTTGCAAAATACTCAAAATACGTTCTGAAATCTCTATACGGAATTTGCAATATTTATATATTTATATATATATTTATTAAATTCAGAAATATATCCATAGAAGTATTATTTCTATAGTTAAGACTTTATAAAAAATCATACCTGATGTCCTTAAATTTATAACAGAAGGACCGTAATTTGTATTGACCAATCAAAACAGAGAAAATTTCAAAATTATGTTACACGGTTAAAATTAATTAACTAACGTTAACGGTTAATTGCGGGATGATATTGTAGACATTTAAAAGTTATTGATCTAGCGAATTTAAACCTTCTTCGCCGTGCAGCTTCATTTCAACAGATTTTTATTGTGTGCTGAGTCAGATACAGCAACGCATTAAAGTTTTCTGAATATTAATTCATATACTTTTAAAAAAAAAAGTAAACGATCGATCATGATCATTATTATCCATCACCTCGGAAACTTAATCGCAACAAACTCCAGATATATTAGATACACAACATTTAGCATATACCGAAAATGAATCCAACATTTGTTATAATTTGATTTAATGTATGACACAGCCGAAGGATGCATTGATTATGAAGGCATACATACGATATGAAAAAAAAATTTATAACTTTCCAGATTGTAGTAATTGTTTTGTTCGTTGGAATAAATATTTTCTGACGGGTTTTGTTCGTTGACTACCTTTTTCAAGTCACTTGTGAAGAATATGATTAATATGTATACACAAATGTATAAAGAAATTTCGTACCCGTCAATTTTGAACTTTTTTAACAAAAGGAATTATGTGAATTTTTCGGATGGATTGAATCGATCATTAATATATATTACTATATATAAAACAATCAATTAGTGTATGCATATAATGAATTCACTATACACAAACAGCCCCATCAAGCAAAGCTCGGAGAAAAATTCCCCGAGCACCATTAATATCCCTATCCATCACTATTCCACATTTATTACATTTAAACAA